GTGTATAAATACATTTTGATACTTCACGACTTATTGAAACTATATTCAATGAGAAAGGCATCAAGAATAAATAATAAAATGGTTGTAGGAAGTAATGTAATGTAAAAAAACTTAAATTTCAAGTTTTAAAATATTTTCTGACATGTAAGAAATTATTACTTATTTCAGAAAAGTTTTGCATCGATTAAAAAGATTTCCATGTATATCATCGAGCAGAAAATTTGAAGAACATTTTCGAATTCCTGACATTCAACACAATCTTTATAGGTATATTTAAAATGTAAATCAGAATAAGGTTTAAAAACAGTTTTGCATTACCCTAAAGACTAAAAAGAATGAATCCAAGGAATTTTATAATATAAAATAGATCTAACACTCATTCCAAAATATTGGCTTTTTCTAAAAAAAAATTATTTGACATTTTAAAAATATCACTATTTTCTATGAATAAAAGGCAAAAAATAGAAAAAAAAATCTTCAGTTTTTAAAGTTTTAAAAAATATTTATTGCTCTAAGTCTCTGGTCAGATAATCATGGACATAATCAGTGATTAGTATTATAATTAACCAGCCTGAAGAACTCTACATCCTGAAACAGGCTTGTTCCCACACACACCTTGATGGAAAAGCAGGACTCCAAGATATCCTAGCGATTTAGTCTTAATAATTCCACTTAATATTATTAAAATTAACCAATTTTCATGATTTCTTGTCTGTTGAAAGATATGTAATCTTAGAGCTCTTTCAATGCATAATCCAGCAGAGAGGTTTTCTAGCCCAAAGGTTAGCACTGTGAAGATGATTTTGTATATTTTGGTCACGCATTGTAAAAAAAAATTCTTCATGAGATCATTCTTGGACAGTAGCAAAATCGGGTGACACTGGACTGTTCTGTGAAGCTTATTCCTGCCATGCTTCACTTGACTTCATATTGCGAGAGAATAGTGACCACTCCACTATGTAAATATCTGCCTCACTAAGATAATCTAGAAAGATTCTTGCCCAATCGCCGACAACCAGCTGAAAGTTCTGTCCATAATTGTTTTCCATAGGTTTTACTATGAATATAAGTTTAATTTTGGTGTTGTATATAAATCAATGTATGTAACCCAAAATATGGCTAGGCCCAAACACAGGAGTTGTCTTCCAGACTTTGATCAGATTGTTGTATGGAACGGGAGCAAGGCATGTTTCTTCTGAAAATTAACCAATATTCATGCTTTCTTCCCTATCAAAAGAGCTGTCATTTTCAAGCCCTTTCCATGCATGGAGCAGCCCGAAGATTAGCACCGTGGATGATTTTGTACACTTTGGTCACACAATGTATAAAAAAATTATAATTCCACCACCTTATAATGCCTCTACATTTAACCCTTTAGTGATTTAGCGAAATGTGTCATCCATCCAAGCAATCTTTCAATGGTATTTGGCGATGATAACACATTTCCATCATGACCATGCACACATTATGAACACTAAACTTCAATTGAAGATAAAACCTGAATAAGTCTGCTATAACTTTCTTCAGGAATTGTCCAGTATTAATTTAATAATGTCTCTACCTTTAATATTCTTTAACTGAACTGTGCTATTGTACCAAAAAAGCAAGGCATGTTTCTTCTGAAAATTAACCAATATTCATGCTTTCTTGCCTGTCAAAAGAGCTGTCATTTTCCTGTCATTTTAAACTGTCATTCCAAACTGTTTCCTGTCATTCCTGTCATGCTGTCATTTTAAACCGTGAAAATTTTATAGGGAAATTATAGATGGTGAATTTTTTTATGGGATTAAAAATAGATTTCTAATCAAAATTAGTACACCATAATTTTTAAGATAAATCCTAAAAAAAACTAAACCTCATCATGTTTATTCTTTAATTTATGATTTGACTTACAGCATTCAAGAATTGTTAAAATCATATTATTTTCATGCCTAATCCCGTTTTAAATGAAATTTATAAAATACACAACAATTCTCCTCTGGCGATGACAAATAATCAGAATTTCCATTCTAGATTTCGTTTATTCAGCTTGCCAACGTTTCAATCCAAAATATGTGGATCATCTTTGGATTGATATTCATCTTTAGAGCAATGGTTAATATCTAATCTAGCAACCAGAACTCACATGTCATCTTCATAATTTAAAAAAACAAGAAAATGAACATATCCATCTTTAAATTCTCTTCTGATTTATTCCCCAGGTCAGCAGTCCCATTACACTTATAAACACGTAATGCCATTACATTTATACATTCAAAATATTTGTTTGCAGTCTTTTCAGAAATTAATTTTTACATTTACTATTTTTGATGTATACTTCATTTATCTTTATTATGTTAAATTGTTAATTACATCTTCAGGAATAAAATAACCCTCAGAATTAATATAAGGGAATTTGTGTTGTGGTGGAATAATAAAGGAGTGTTCTCTGTTATATCAGGTATTAAACAAAAAAAAAAAAACCTGTACCACTAAAAACCCATGAAGGGTATTGGGTTCAGTACTTTGTAAGAAACTACTATTCCGTGGTCAACGGTTGTGCAAGGAGGTGATTTGATCGAGGTCATGCTCAACCGCCAGGTTTTCCACTTAATTAATTATTTGATAAAGGATATATAAGATTTACACTTTATATAAGATGGGTGTGCCCCCAGAAGGGTCTCCCAATCCTCGGGGTCGATCCATGGCCAACAAGACAGAATAAATAAATTTATCTATCATTAGCTGAGATTCGAACCTGGGACCTTAAGCACTAGAAGCCTAAACTAAAACTGAACTACCCCACTCCCTTATCCACTCTATATCAGGCATATAGATAGTTTTTTGCAGTGTAGATCCCTTTTCCAGCTCTCAGGAGCGATAGATTTCGATGAATAAGGCACCAAACAAAAGGGTATCATGTGGAGCAGTAGCGAATCATAGTAACACTTCCACAAAATTTCAGGAAAAAAAGTTATAAATGAAAGAAACTTTATTTGCAAATAACTTAAAAAGTATACATTTTTTTGTTGATTGAACCTATGGTTATTTGAAAGATTACTGAATTCCCTAAAAAATAAAAATAAAAATCGGACTATTATTATCAAAGATACAGCCCATAGTAATTTGTACACGTTTTGGTTCATTAATCATATCATTAACTTATTTTTATATTATATTGTCCCTGTTCACTGACCAATATTCTATTTGAATTATTTGCATGGGACAACTAATATCTATAAATTACTTAACTTAAAAAGCTCACATATGAAACTATCTAATTAAGATTAATAGTCCTTAGATTTATTTGGTTGCCAAGGAAACATTTGAGAACATTTTTACTTGGGTTATATTTTTAAACAGATGTGAGAACTTTTAAAATAAAAAACCTTTAATAACACTGTTAATATATTTTAATAAGTGTATGAGAGCTCAAAAGTTTGTTAATACTTTTGTGCTTTCATTAAATATTTTTTATCTGAAATCAAATGCTTAAAATGATATGCTTAATACCTAGTGTTCAGATAAGAACAGTCAAGAAATCCCTCTTTTTTTTTTTTTTAGTTAATGATATAAAAGTGCAAGAATTTTATGTCATATCTCTCCATATACTTATGTGATTAAAATATAAACATTACGCTCTTGATAAAATTTAACTAAATGTTCAAATGAGCTGTTTTGGTCTTGTAGTTATGAACTATATTTCAAATAGCATTTAAGTAAAATATTATTATACTATCTTTGGTGATTATGTAAATATAAACAGAAAAAAATATATTTACTAAAAGATACTCGACGCAAATCTTTATTTTCTTTGTATAAATACATGACTCGTGTCCTGCTCTTTGACCTTTATCATTAAATCTTGAATCTCTCAGATAAGGTCTGTTCTTCTAATACGACCTTAATAACTTTCAGGCTATTGTCAGCAACACAGTACGAAGGGTGAGTCGTTATATAGTATTGTTTTCTAAAATTATTATTCACTTAAAAAAAAATTGATTAATGTAATAAAAACTAATTACTGTTGTATATTATTGATATAAAAGTCGTCAAATTCAATATTAATTCACTTTCTTATTAATGTCATTCATATAGGCATTCGACAAATTATGAACTCTTTCATTGTATTTATTCATATACTTTAAATAAAAAAAGGAAATTAATAAATCATTATTTCTGTTTCTGTTAAATTTAATAGTTAAGTCTACTAATCTTTAATCAATAAAATGTTGACACAAAAACTTGTGCCAAAAAAAAAAAAAATCCATATTTAAATTTTTAGATGGATTTATTTAAAAGAAAAGAAAATATTTCATAAAATAAATAATGGGCTGATCTATAAATGACACACATAAATATATTTACAAAAAAAAAAGTACATATATATAAGCTATTCAAATAAAAAATTCAATGCTTTATTATATTCATAGACTAGCTGATGTGCCCATCGTTGAGGGGTATATATGTTTATTATAACCTTTATTGTTTATAAATATCATTTATAAACATATGTTTATTATTAACATTTATTATCAACATTAACCGAGATCTCTAGACAAATTACTCAAGAATTCATAACTTTGGTTAGACTGAATATTTTGTTTTCATTTAAATCCTATGTTTCAAGTCAAGTAAACCTTAATATAATGTCAAAATTTCAAAAGTCTACAATAAGCCATTGCTGAGCTTACCTCTGACAAAATTTCGTTTCAATGCGAAGATACAAACAGACAAAAAATTTTTAAAAAGTGGATTTGATGTCTTATGAGACAGAATGTATGAGACAGAAAGATGTCATAAAACGGGTTGATTCTATTCAATGTACAGACAAAATCTTTATTTTATTTATATAGATCATTCATTACAAAATAAAATTTTCATTTCTCATTCCGAAATGGAATGAATAGTTTAATTAATTACTTAAACCAATATAGTTTGCTTGTAGTATAGAACTCCACTAGACGTCTTAATCAAAATAAAAATTAAATTAAAAAAATTTTGCTCAACACTCTAATAAGCTGCATCTCATAAATTGTTTTATATTCATAGTATAATTTATAACTTTTAATAAAATTATATATTGTAAACATTCTGTTAAACAGTTTTATTTATGAAATAATAATACAATTACTTTAATTGTTAGTTTCTATTTATTTTCTTTATTTATAATACATATTATTATGCCAGTTATATTAGTGTTTCTTTCTAAAAGTCTTATAAAATTATACTTCATAATGCAGAATAACCACGATAATATACTATCAATAAATTTAAAGAATAGTTTTAGTTTCCATAATGTATGATAAGATACCATTCTGGTTTCACACACTGGAAAATATGATAACAATAGATAATAAATGGTTAAATAGACGATGACAGCTTAGGACTAGCCAGTTGAATTGATTCTGTTTGTTGACTTGTATGAATTCACAGTAAGTTTAAATAATTATTTTACATTCAAGTAATTACTATTATTATTATTATACTATTTTATATTATTAATTTATTATAATTACTTTATTACTTCTGAATTCAATTAATAAATAATTTATAGATATTTAATTCACTGGAAAAAGAATTCTAAGCATCACATCACAATTTTCATATATTTTATTTAGATTTATGAAAAAAAAAATAATTTGTTAAAATTTCTAGTCAACTTAGGATATAATAGAAAAAAAATTGAAACACAAACCTAGAGTCTCTGTCTATACACAGATAAACAATTTTTAAAAACACTCTCATTATTTTTTATGTATTTGAATGTCATGGAATAGTTTTCTGATATAATTAACGTTTCATTTTTGGACTATTGATTAAAGATAAGTTGTATTAGTAAATAAGTGATTTTGTGTGTTTCTGTCCTGATGGTGCCTGAATTGGCGAAACATTGACAAGTTAGATTTTACCTGCACTTTAGAGACCCAAGACTTTGTTTAATGAAGTTTTCTAATTATCTCCAAACATTTAATTTCCAGCCCTGATCATATAAATTGCATCACCTAGTAAAAATATTATTTTATTTACCAGGTCGCTATCTACATGATCTCTGGATGATTCTCTGCTAGTTTTGAAGCAGTATTGTAAAAACAATTGCATCATTAAGCGATAAAATTGTTTGTTTGTTTTTTTCTCATTCCAATTCCTTTATTTCACTCTATGGTGCCCTGAGAAAGAGTTTTTTCAAAACTATGACTACCATTGGTTAGTTGAACTATGATCATATATTAGATTGACAATGGCCCCATCCTCATTGTTGTTTCCCATAAAAATTACTTTACTTCATGTAATGTCACAATTTTAATATTTTCTGATGAGAACAGTTTTTTGAAACAGGTCATAATTACAGCTTTTATCCGGCATTATTTAAAACTGAACTGAGGAACATTGTTTTAGTTTACTTGTAACCTAAATAAGTAAAGAAAAACAAATATATTTCATGAAATCCACATAAAAATCAAAAGAAATAGCTGATACATTTTCTATGACCACGACTATGTGCCTTTTTTTTTGAGTTTTTGATCTTTATAATATTATAAAACAGTGTTTGTTTGTTTTTTATTTAATGATCTGACTGAATGTCTTTTTGATTGGCATTCACTTATTTGAGCAACATCTTATAGGATACTTGCCAGTTTCATTAAACGGATTTAAGCCAGAAAATGAATTTTTAATATTATTATTACTCGAAGTTGAGTAGATTAAAAATAAATAATGTTTAAAATCAGAAATACAAAATAATGACTCAGTAGGAATCCAGCCTGGATGGGTAGTAATCAGATTAAAGAGACTAATGTATTGTTTCATTAGATTTATTTTTGGAGTCTCCAGGCGCTCCCACATCTCTAGTTGGTATGCCGAGTCGAAGTGGCTCTATCCAGTCTTCCGACTGCAATAGTTCCTAGGTTTATTTCTTTTTAGAACCTTTTCAACCAAAAAACCTTCTTACCAACTTGATTTATTTACTCCTTGTTCCTCTTTCCATTCATTTAACATGAGATCTCAGCCCTCAAACCTGTTTATTCTTTCTCATATAACTGATCCCTTTAAAAAATCCTTTGTCATACGTGCTACATTGTTTTGGAATTCCCTACCAACTTCAATACGCAAATACTCATCCTTGACCTTATTTTAACATAATTTATTTATCCATCTCCTCAGCAATCAATTTTCCGAGTATGTGTAAATGATGTTAACGTTTTTCAGACCTGGCAGTCGCATTTAATGTTATTCTACAGATAATTATATATCATCCACATAGTTTATGTGTACAAATATGTGAACTCGCATATCTGAATTTATCTACAATTTCATATGTCTACCTGTGCCTTTTCTTTATTTTAATTTTAAATCTAGATAACCTTGCAATTTAATTTATTCCTAATTATTTCTAATGCCAGACAATTGTTGTTAAATTGTACATTGTAGTTATTCTAAGGGGACTTGGTCCCAGAATAAAATTTATTTTGTGGCAAACACGTGGAACAAATCTCTACCTTCCCACTATTGTTAAAATGACTGAAATAAAAAAAAGGATAAAAAAAAAATCTGTACCACTACAACCCATGAAGGGTCTTAGGTTCAGTACTATTTAGAGAAAGCACTGTTTCTTGGTATATGGTTGTGTAAGGAGGTGATTTGACCAAGATCACGCTCAACTTCCAGGTTTTTCCCCTTAATTAATTATTTTGATTAAGGGTAACCATTTTATAGGGGCTGGGTGTGTGTAGGAGGGTTTACTACCCAGGATCACCTCATGGCCAATGAAACAAAATAAATAATTTTTCTGCCATGAGCTGGGATTCAAACCTGGGACCTTTAAGCATTGGAAGCTCAGTACCCTACCACTGAGCTACCCCACTCCCAAAGAAAAAGAAAAAAAAGATGCTAAGCATAGATTGGTAAATAAATCATCGGACATTATTCAATACAACCCTCTATATTAGCATAAAATTGGAGAATCGAATATTTCACTCTATTTACAAAATAGAGTATAAGAAATTCTACAGTATTTGAAGCTAAACAAAAATTTACTAACGTTAGTTCTTGAATAATTCCCATTATACAGCAATAAGATTCTGATTAGGAAGTAAACAAAAATTCATCTGTGAACTATGAGTGTTCATCTGAACCTGTACCAGTGTTTTGGTTTTATAAGTTTCATCTTTAAACATATATCTACAAAAATGAAAAAGGTTTATGTAAGATATGAAAGTATTTCACTCTGCACTAAATAATTTAGTTGGGATATGGATTACTGAAACCTGCTATAAGCTGAAATTTTCCTGATATGCTTCTTTTCATTTTTTTTTTTAACTGATTTCTATGAATTTTTTTTATTTTTTCAGATCAGAATAATTCTATATAAAAGGAATTGTACAAAACTGAAATGCATATATTGCTCTTGTTAGCTTGTGCCTTAACGGCATTGGCAACTGAATATGATCCTTTGTCAGATGAATTTATCAACTACATAAATACATTAAATACTACTTGGAAGGTAAATTATTTCGTTAATTTTTGAATTTCACTGCTTAGTAACTAAAACACAAGATATTGTTAATTTGAATATTACAAATTCAATAAATATTATGCACTAATCAAGATCAATGAAATTAATTTTTAAAATGCTATGGTGGTCAAGAGTGATCGGGTCTTAGTATTCTCAAGTCAGAAGTAGAGCTGACTTAAATCCAAGCCAGTAGTGATTGACTTTTTTGGTAATCTCGGGTAATATATCTCGACCTTCAATCTCTGGCTAGAATAGGTTGATGACCTGTAAGATAGATAGCATGTCCTTTCTGCTCTAATTGGAATTCATTGGACAGTAAAGCAAATAATCAGTAAATTAATTTTTATATATAAGTAAATATTATATGCATTTAAAAAAACAATGTACCTCTACAATCCATGTAGGATCTTGGGTTCAGTAATTTGTAAAGAAGTCTAAGTAGAAGAGTCAATACAATGAAAGAGGGTCTTCACACAGCTTAAAATTAAAAATTGATACAGTTTTAACCGATTATTGTTTCATAATTTTTATTTTCATTAATATAAGTGATCATTGAGGAATTCTCTATTATCTTCTGTACTAGGATCCCGTCTTATAATTTTCTTTGTTTACTGATGTTTTATTTTAAATTGTATGCTGTTATTAATTTATTAATGTATAGTATGCTATTATGAATTATAGATATTAGTGGTAACTTATTAATGAGTAAAATATAAAATAACCAGCCGAACCCCTGTAATTATCCAAAAGAAAATACAGATTTTTTATATCTATCTATAAAATTTGCAACAAAGAAAGAGTTATGTGGGTTTTGGTGAGTCAGAGATTGAAAAGGGTGCTTTATTCAAAACTCTCAATATTATCTCAAAAAGTTTGGCAGGAAGGTCAAATTATCCAACAAGTTATTTTATTCTAACTAGAGTAAGACAATTGAAATTTATTTTTAAGTTCTGCCATGAAATATAAATTGAAACCCTCACATTATATAATTGAACTTAGCATTTACTTCAGGTCCAAATGAAGTTTGCAAGAGAGCTAATCCAACATTGCCACCAACACAGCTTAAAATAAAAAAATTATACAGCTTTAATCGATTATGGTTTCATTATTTTTATTTTCATTAATATGAGTGATCATTGAGGAATTCTCTATTATCTTCTGTGCTAGCACCCCATCTTATAATCTTATTATAATTTTCTTTGTTTACTGATGTTTTATTTTAAATTGTATGCTGTTATTTATTTATTTATTTAATGTATAGTATGCTGTTAATAATTATAGATATTAGTGGTAACTTATTATTAGCCAGTATTATTAACCTCTGTAATTATCCAAAAGAAAATACAGATTTTTTATATGTATCTATAAAAAGTTAAACAAGAAAAGAGTTAGATGGGTTTCTGTGAGTCAGAGAGTGAAAAAAATTGTTATTCAAAACTCTCAATATTATCTCAACAACTTTGGTAGGAAGATCAACAAGATATTATTTTATTCTAACTAGAGTGAGAAAATTGAAATTTATTTTTAAGTTCTGCCATGATATAGAAATTGAAACTCTCACATTCTATAATTGAGCTTAGCATTTACTTCAGGTCCAAATGAAGTTTGCAAGAGAGCTAATCCAACATTGCCACCATAGATTATTAATAGTGTATTTTAAAAAATCAGGCCTTATATCAGAAAAAAATTTAGTAACAATCATGCCCATGCAATACGGAATTAATTAATGTGTCAGTTAAATTTAATTCAATCTCAGTCGGCTCCATAGAAACATATTCAGCAAATCACTCTGAAAATCCTAATAGGTTTAATGATTTTATTTTTTTCTTTCAGGCAGGAAGAAATTTTCACAGGAATACTTCGCCTAAGTTCTTTCAGAAAATTATGGGAGTTCATCCATCACCACCACCATCGGCTAAATATTTGTCAAGGTTAGACACGTCAAGTTACAAAATACAAGGACCGATACCAGATAGTTTTGACTCTAGAACCCAGTGGCCTGATTGTCCAACGATTTCTGAAGTTGATGACCAAGGTGCTTGTGGTAGTTGCTGGGTAAGTTTAAATTAAATATATATAATTTTTATAGTAATCTTAATAGTCTTTAATCTTTGTTATAAAGATAATTTAATACATAATATTTATATATAGATAAGCCCTTATAATTTTACTATTTATTGAAGTTATATAAACGTTTCGAGTTACTTTGCTCATTTTCAAGTTATCGAAATCCAATAAAAATTCTATAAATTTCAACATATTTTCATTATATAATTCTATTATAATTTATTTTTAGTCTATAAATATGAAAACCACCATATTCCTTGCATTTTGTCATATTATTATTAAATGGTGCTACATCCCAATCATTCAAGACTGCTCCAGCATGGATCTCCATTTCTCCATTGCTGCAGCTTTCCAATTTCTGACACCAAGTAGTCTACATGCATCAGCAGCCACACAGTCTTTCCAGCACAAACATTGTCTTCTCACTCGTCTGTTTCCATATACAGGCTCATTCGTAGCTCTCTGTGGGGATGCATTGATATCCATACACGCGACATGTCCTGCCCAGCGTAGTCTTGCCAGTACAATGAATTGGCTCATGTCCAGGTCATTAAATAATGTCTTGATTTCAATATTCGTTCTCCTCCTCCAATTTTGTGGTGTTTCCCAGACCCCCTCCGAATATGCAGCGTATAATCCTCCTATCAAATCTGAGCAGGGATTTCTCAAGTGCTTTAGTTAAGGTCGAACTCTCACAGCCATATGTGAGTACTGGTCTAATGAGTGTTTTATATATTCTTATTTTGGCCTATCTCGACAACATTCTACTGCGAAGATGCCTCTGGAGGGAGAAATAGCACCGATAAGCTACTGCAATCCTCTTATCTATCTCAAAATCAATGTTATTTTGTGAATTTATCAGTGCATTTTTTTGTCTAATGCACGTGAATTCCCAAAACCCACTAATACCTCCTCCTTCTGTTGTATAACATGAACTTTTCTATAATTTGAATTAATAGTAAAATTATAAGGGCTTATACTACTACTATCCTATATTACTAGGGCTTATATTACTAGGGCTTATATCTATCCTTGAAGACATCACATATAAATACATTAAGTATCCTTGAAAAAAATTCAACTGAAAGTAACTAAATATACATGTTTTGTGTTTTTTCTATAGTTAAATTTTGCATTGAATATTCAATAAAGCATTATTAATAATAAAATATAAAATAATTTACTATTAAACTAGTAGGTCATGTAAATAATTTGCATGATATGTCGGTCAGTCACTGAGTAGTAATATAATGCAGAATATGTACATGCAAGCACTCATTAATGAAAAAAAAAAATTCGAAATAATAAAATGTGTGTGTAAAATGAAGTAAAGGAATCCAAATGTCAAAGTTAGGAAAGAAAAAATGTCACTTAACATTGTAACATTTTAAGTCAAATTTTTAAATAAAGATTAGTTTTGGATATTTTGCTGTCATTAAGAGTCATTGAAGAAGGTAATCTTCAAAATGATAGCTCAATCTTTCATTTTGATAAAATATTGAGGTAAATATTCCATAATCTTAAAAAATAATATACTACAATAACAAATATGAATGTCACTGGATTTTCTCTGAACATTTTAATACAATCTGTAATATATTTTCATAAATTATTTTGGATTTTAATAATTTATATTTAAAAAAAATTAAATATTGTACACAAGGTGGTAACTGATTTGATAAGTAATAATTGGTTATGAAAAAGCAGGGTTTTCTTTAAAAGCAGTTCTTGTTTTGACGAGATATCCTATTGAAATTATTCTTAGAGGGTTGTCATTACAGAAATGTGTAATTTTTATTTAATCATAAAACACTTTTGATTTTTCATAAATTATTAATACAAAAATAGATGATAAGTTATATCTGATTCAATAAAACTCATTTGTAGTATATTAATAAAAACTTCTCAAGAATGCAAAATTAGATTGAATTAATATGAACGATAGAGATATCTGGTAGATGATGAAACATAAAATTTATGAAAAATGCTTTATTAATGTTGTAGGCTCTTAAATATAGTGTAAATAATAATATGTTTGAAGGCCTTTGGTGCAATAGGAGCAATGTCGGACCGAATTTGTATCCACTCAAATGGTAGTGTGAACGCACGACTTTCTCCTCAAAATCTTATATCTTGCTGCTGGTCATGTGGATTTGGCTGCAATGGAGGATTCCCAGGAGCTGCATGGAGGTATTGGGTGCACAAAGGGCTCGTAACAGGAGGTTCATATAATAGCAACCAGGTTAGTAAAACAATATTACTACGGACTGGATTCATATGTATTTGTATATTTTTTTTTTTTTTTTTACATTTCCTTGGTCTTATACACCATTTTCAACCATTTATTTTATGTTTTATACAATTTAAAACCAATTAAAGAGTATTTTGAGAAGAAGTTGGTCAGGAGTGTAATCATATAAATACTATAAACTAAAATAGTATTTTATTGGTTATGCCGACGTTTTGACCCACTTTGTAGGTCTTCATCAAGACTACAAAAGATAGAAAATATAAAAGGTAAATAGTGAATTGTGAAATTTTGTTTCTTTTGTAGCCCTGATGAAGACCTACAAAGTGGGTTGAAACATCAGCGTAACCAATAAAATACTTTTTTAGTTTATAGTATTTATTTGACCGCACCCCCAACCAACTCCTTCTCGTATTATAATCATGCTCAACCATCTTCACACCATTATAAAGCATATTTTATTTTACATATGGTATAAAAATAAAGAAATACTATTCAAAGAATTTAGATGGAAAAAAATTTGGAACAAATATAATCGCCATTGTCATTATAATCTTTAGTCCGCAAGCAAGTGTATGGGGTTGCTGCTTGTAGAGTCTGGGCCAAGTTTCTCGCTCTCTGGCTAACTCTCTTCTGCTCCAATCCATAATCTATCTCCTTAACCGCTCCCAGTCACTGTCCATCCAGGTGATGTGCAGTCTTTCTCTAGGTCTCCTTCCTCCACACGAGTCTTCTAGGTGGTTCTTTCTTGATCTATCATAAGGAGATGTCTAACTTGGGTATATTTCTAGATCCTATCTCATCTGATCTTTCATTCCACTTTACGAAGGTAGAGAATTTCCATGGATTGTGTTAGAGTGATCCAGAAGAGTACAAAAGAATCGATTTATTGATGGCATTTTTGTTTTCTTGGTCACCTCTCTTATACTCATAAAACCCCTTCAAAACACACAGTATACTCTACCAACTCTCCCATTTCTCTGAGATACCTCCCCTCATCAATGTCACTGCTTTTGTTGAGATGAACACCTAGACTGGAATTACAAACAAATTTTCATTTCTTATTCCAAAAACTAGTATTTATTGGAATAAAACTAGATGTAACACATTTTCATCATTAAAAGCCAAAACTTCATTGGAATTTTAATAAATTTATTATTTTTTTAGGGTTGCATTCCTTACGGGATACAACCTTGCGAACATCACGTTCCAGGCCCTCATCCACAATGCGACAAAGAGCATCCAACAACACCGAAATGCATTAGGCAGTGCCAACCATCATATTCCGTTTCTTATACGGAAGACTTACATTACGGTATGAATTTTAAAATACTTTATACTAATTATAATAAATAAATCATAAATCTAAATTTTGCTGTTTAAACAAAAAAATTAATTGTTTTTGAGGGAAATTAAGTGTAAATATGTGCTTATATATGTTTTATAATGTAAAAACAACACAAAATCACCAATGAACAAATAATTCCTAAATATCTACTGAAGGAAAAGACAAAATTACATGCTTAAGCCAGAGATTGAAACTGTTACAGAACTTTTTTAAAGTTTAATTTTAATGGTTCCAATGGCACTTTTTTGTAATTAAGTTAGAGGTTTATTTAAGTACTTTAAAAAAGTTATGTTAAGTGAGAAATAAGCAAGTGATTGGGCTTAGATTTTAATTATCTTGAATGAATTGCCTGATTCTCATATTAAGAGCCTACTGCATAATCACCACATTTTTAATTTTCTTTTTAGAGAAATTAAATGATTTAACAAAAAATTTCATTTAAAGTATTTAAAATTAAAAGTTCTATAAAACCTTAAATTGAAAATTTAAATTAAGGCTTAACCCTACAACTCACAGAAATGAAACAGTAACCATATACACACTTTCTTGTAGATATTGTTTGCATTTATTAAAAATAAAATGTCTGGGACGAACTTTTATACTGTAGTAGACTTAAGAGAAGATTACTTTTCCAAAGAAAAATTATATGTCGCCTTATCTAGATTAGATAGTAAAAAAATCCAATATGTACTTATACTACTGAGAGAAAGGACTAAATATTGTTTCTGCTCAAGCACTGTTAGTTTTCTTTAAATAATTTAAAACATGGCGTTGAAAAAAAAATTTTTATTTAAAGATGCTTAGTTAGTTTTTCTGTATTCTTTTTTTTTTTTTTTGTATGTTTCTGGTTGTTCAGTAAGTTCACAAAGATTTATAATGTTAATCAGAGACACAGCTATGTACTCACCATGTGAAAAATGCAAGTATTGTTCAAATTTAATGCATTATATAGCAAATAAATGTAATAAAATTATAGAAGGAACTAGTTGGCCCATATGGATAATTTGCATAGTATATTAGCCAGTAAACAAATCACAATACAATACGAAAATAAGTAAATTCAATGTATTAGGTAAGGGAAGAATTAGTGTTTATTCAAATTAATATACCAAAACATACATATGTTCAAATTACAATTGGCTGTATCTTTGCTATAAATGATCCGATTTCGCTGATTTTTTTTTTAAGTGAAAACTTCTCTAGGCAAGCTTTGCACTTTTTTTGTGGGTATTGAATGAGACTGAGCCAACACACTCGGATATGAAATGCTCATTCGGGATAAACTTGACTCAAGTCGACTAATTGAAGTTTTTTTGCATTTGGATTAAAGTATTTCAGAAACTAAAAATCAGACCTGTATACTGTAAGCAAGAAGAATGTTCAGTATTTCGCCCTCTTTGTAATGAGCTATAAATTTTATTTTGACGTGACACCAAGTTAGAGAGATGGAAAGGGAAAAAGAGAGTGCCAAAAAAACAACTAATAACAACTGTTTTGAACATTCATACTAAAATATCTCAAAATTTAAATACCATGGAGAAACCAATTTGCAGAAGTCAATATAGAATTTTTTTTAATTAGCCATACAATTAAGAAATGTTTCAATTCAATTTGGGAGCGGGGTAGCTCAGTGGTAGGGCACTGAGCTTCCAATGCAAAGGTCCCGAGTTCGAACCCCGGCTCATAGCAGATAATTTATTTATCTGTTTCATTGGCCGTGGAGCGACCTTGGGTCAGGAGTCCCTCCTGGGGCACACCCAGCCTCTATAAAGTGGGTACCCTTAATTAAATAGTTAATTAAGGGGGAAAACCTGGCGGTTGAGCGTGATCTCGGTCAAATCACCTCCTTCAACAGTGCTTTCCCTAAATAGTACTGAACCCCAGACCCTTCATGGGTTGTAGTGGTACAGGTTTCAATTCAATTTTCTGTTGCACTCGATAGAGTTCTGTTACAGAAGTTATATTAAAAAAATGAAGCAGTTTTTGTGACATAGATTTCAATCAAAAGTATTCATGTGATAATTTAGTTATAATAAACCTATTGTATCATTTTTAGAGTATGATACAAATCAGTCAGACCCAAAGTTCACTAGAGTAATTTATACACAATTATAATTGTATATATTGTAAATGTTATTAATTTGTGAATATAGTATAAAAATATATTATATTTCATATTATTAATCTGACATTTTTGATGTTTTCATTTCTGTCATGTGGTCTTAACCATATACCGTATTTTTCATTTTGTAGGGAATAATTATCCTCATTATAATCAACCATAAGTTGTTTACTTTTTGAGTTAAGCAATAATAAAGTTTTCTTTTCTTCATAACATTTTTTCCTGACTTTTCTGGGTTATGTGCCTATTTTTGGAAGTAGAAGATAATCTTCAAAATAACGAATTGATCACTGGATTCAATGACTAATGAACAAGATATAGTGTAACAACAAAAAAAACCTCTTTGAGAAATGATATATAAAGTTATGAAATTACATGTTTTTACTTACCAGTAACTTTTTTTTTAAATGTTTATATTAAATTGAATTTTCTGAATTTCTGAAATCCCAGAAATATTACTATCATTGTCCATCTATTCTTCAATTTTATTTTTAAAATATAATATTACAAAATTTATTATAATCAATACTTCATTATTGACATTTATATGTTATCATTCTTCTGAACAGCTAAATATTTGCTTATGTGTCATTATCATTAATTATTGCAAAGCTAATTTTTCATAATACTTTTTTAAATTATTATCTTTCACGATAATATTATTTTTATTCATCCTAGTCAGTCATTAATTTTAACTATTAAATATATTTATCCTTACAATATGTTTTTGATCTAAATTAATTTGTACAGATTTTCACTATCTATGCTTCATAATAATATTAATACATTTATAATTATAATATATATTGATATGTGATGATACTTACATAATTTATTTTTTAAACAGGAAAGTCAGCTTACTCGATAGAAGGACACCCAAAAGCTATTCAGCTTGAGATATTGAATAACGGCCCAGTAGAAGGAACATTTTCAGTCTATGAAGACTTCTTGAGCTATAAAAAAGGTAAATAAACAAATTACATCTAATTTTCTCTTACTCCAATATAATTGTATGCATAACAGAGGCTTATGGTTTTAAAATATAAAAAATAAAATAAATTATATAAAACTATTTATATTTACCAAAATAAGCTCTATTGCTGTCAATACATTTTTGCCAACTTTTCAATTGCTCTAACTAGAATGTTGAATCATTATTATTAACAACTTTTAAAAATGCATTTTCTAACGAAATATATTCAATAAAATTTTTAGTTCTTAAAAAGGAAAGCAGGGTAGAAAAGGTTGGATTTCGTTTCGGAAACTTACTGTGGAAACTTCATAACAAAGATTTTTTAGGAGAATGTTTAGTGCATGAGGAACCCAAATTTCAAGCTATTTATCTTTCCAATTGTGTTTAGATGGTAAGCAATGGTCGATTTGCTTACTTCGAGTTTCTATGAAAGTTCTCAAACAGTTGTTCTGGGATTTTATTACAGAAAAAACATTATCTTTTGTGAGAAGATTAATAAGTGCTGACATCCAGACCAAAGAATAATTCCTCTGACATGAAAAGTTAGTGGTATAGAGGATTAATACAAAAATTATATTAAAGGATTATATAAAGAAACTAGGAAATCCTGCATTGGTTTCCTGACAATCTAATAGTTATGTTGAAATCTATTATAAATAATAAGTAACTTATTTTTTAAATCCTAATAAAAAGTAATTTCAATGAATAAGTAAATAAATACAAGTTTATTTCATACATAAATACATAAAAAAGAAAAAATATTTAGATGAAATATTCTATAATATTTTCCTACCTATACTAGGTAAGGAAAGTATTGCAATCGGATAAAATTTCCGATATGTGGTTTTTGATGGATCTATACGTTTCAGAGCCCCCTCTGTCCGAAAAACATATTTTTAGCCATTGGTCTGTCTGTCTGTCTGTCTGTGCTAACTGTTTTGACTGGATTTTGTAGGGTGGACAAATTGGATGCCCCATGTGCAATAACTGCTGCGCAATAAATGAAAAACATGTTTTTTTATAGACTATAGCGTGAAAATGGCTGCAACAATTTTAATGAAACTTTCCTATAATGTTCTGATAATTGTCCTTTCAATTTTTGGATATGAACTAAATTCCTGAACAAATTTAGGAAAAAAAGTTATAAAGAAAAGAAAAATGTTTTGGGGCCTAACTCGCTAAGTATATATTCTATGGTAAAATATGCAATAAAACTTTTGAAAGGTAATTAAATTACCAACAAAACAAAACAAAAAAAATCATCGGAATCGAACCAGTATTAGCGATGATACAGCTTATTCTATTTTTTATTTTAATTTATTATTTTTCTACCTATACTATGTAAGGAAAGTATTGCGATCAGACCAAATTTCCGATATGCGGTTTTTGATGGATCTATACGTTTCAGAGCCCTCTGAGGCTCAACATAAACAAAAACACCATTTGGCCTGGTTTTTTGTGTTTTTTTAAAGACAATGAATTTCCCTACAAAACTATATAAAAATCGTTCATTCCAGACTACTGCTATTCAATTTCCAATGTAAGACTACAACTTCATATTTCATATCCATTTGTCAGAAAATGGTGAATGAGAGAAAAAAAATAACTAAGTGAAGGTAAGAAAATCTGTTTCCCGCATCACACAAGCTTCACTATTTCCTCTATTTTTAACAGAAATTATTGTTTGGCAAAATTAGGCTATTGCAAAAAGTTTTTGATCAGCAATATTAGAGGGTATTGAAATTTTTGCACTAATCTACCTTAAGCCGGTTTACATTGCTTTAGTTCATCAAATAAATTGTACTCATATCTTTTCTTTCATCAATTTTCAGAAAAATGAATCTAATTCAATTTTTTTTTGTTTCTTGATGGACATATGTAAAGATATAAAAACTTTTCTGAAATAGGTAGGAAAATCGTGTGAGTGGACACACCAGATTTTTTTTGTTTTCAATGAAAGTTCGGAAGCTTTTTCTGAAAGTCCTTAAAAAACTTAGCGAACCACATTCAGGTCAGCATTAAATAATAATGAACAAATATATTTTTATTGTGTTGTACAAATAAAACTAATGTTAACATTGATGATATTTTGTTTATTGCAAAAAAAAAAAAAAATGTGAATTGTTAATAATTCTTAAATGAATAATTACAGGAGTTTACCAGCACGTAACCGGTAAAGGTCTTGGAGGTCACGCTATAAGGATTCTTGGTTGGGGAGTAGAAAATGGAACCCCGTATTGGTTAATAGTTAACTCATGGAACACCGATTGGGGTGACAAAGGATACTTCAAAATTCTGAGAGGAAAAGATGAATGTGGCATTGAAGGCTCAGTTTCTGCTGGATTGCCAAAGTATAAATGATAGCATATTGCGTTATTTTATGTTAATATTGTATTTTTATCTTTTTTTAATGTAATGCTTTAGAAATAAAGTTATGATTACATATTTTCCAAACAAATTGTTATTAATGAAATTTTACCGTGTTAATATTCACAAATTTTCATATTAATGTGACAAACAAAAAATAATAAAACAAAAAATGAACATTAAACTATTACCCAAAGACTCCAGAATGATTTCATTAGAAGAAAATGGGACTGAACTTTTAAGATGAAGAAATTAAAAGATCTTAGATTACATTACATCATAAAAAATATTAGATTTAGAACAGATAGTATTAAGAATTAAATCCTTATTACAATAAATAGCACTGATGTGAATAAAAACTGTTTGATTTGGTGCTGTTCTTGATTATTTTTTTTATTCTTTTATAAGGTATTATAGAAACCTTAAAAATTTCATGTATAGATTGAACCAATCAACATATAAATCAAATATTGAATCAACTATAAATTGTAAACTTATTGAGTAATAAACAAATATATTTTTTTTTTGTAATTTTATTTCTACATTTCCTGAAGAATGAAATTGACAGCAGTAATGAAAATAATCATTAAAATGATTTAATTTTATGGATTTGACAAAATAGTACGGTCAACATATCTTACCTAAACATTACTTTTAAGAAATGATCTATAAAGATAATACTATTATCCAAGATCATCTAAGAATTATTATACAGATATTAAAATATCTGTTCATTTGTTTAAGTAAGAAATTGGACAAATATTTAATAGAAAAGTTAAAATTCTCTAATAGGCTTTAACAATGGCAACTGTTATTACAAGGGACAGATTAAAAAAAATTATCTCACCAAATATGAGACTAAAAATACATTAACAATCAGAAAATAGTAGACTAATTCAAAGTATGAAACCAAACATAATTTGATATTAATAAAAAGAGTATTATAAGAATAATGCCCGTATCAAGTCTTAAAGGAATTTTTTTAAAACATTAATTTCAAAGAATATAGGTTTAAAGCATGAATAGCTCACAGTGTACAACCTGACATCCTTTTCAAAAATGGAAATACCAAGATTGAAGAACCTTCCAGGACTCGAATTCATACATTTTTGGTTCCTATATTTTCTCCATGTGTATGCTTTGCTTTAGTTATGCCTCAAAAAATAACCGAAATAATGGGTGCCAAATTAGGAAAATCCCTCATAGTCCAATTAGTGTTCCCAAAACAACCACCAGTAAGGATAATTTAAAAAAAATAATACAAGGGATAAAACTTATTATTTTTGGCTTTTTCTCTTTAACTACTTTGATTTATTCCAAAATTTTAAAGCCTTATAATGGAACCTTTCTTATAATGGATATACTTAATATAAAGGGTCTTTAAAATGAGACCATTCAGTACTCTCTTGTTAAAAAAAAAAATTACTAGTGATGTGGATTAAATATAAAGCAAAAATAAGTCTTTCTATTGCAAAAACAGGTTCTTTACAGTGACCAGAAGTCAAAAAATGAAACAAAGTTAGTTTTAATATAAGTTAAAGGTAATTTTTGTAAATATCTATTTTAAAATGAAGAATAAAAAATTTATTTCTCATAATTACATCCTTGTTCTGTCATCTATTGGGACAATCCAAATCAAACAGTAAGCTACTGGTGCAACAAAACTTTTGTCTAAATTTACAATTTTTGAAAATATTTATAGATTTGAAATGTTCCTAAGTAAGGCGGCAAGTAGTTATATAACTTCAATACAAGATAAATACAATAACATTTTTATTTGAATTTTTATACGTAAAAGTCAAAAGAAATTTCCTTAAGTATGTCAGTTACTGATGCCTTTACTCTTCACTTTTTTCTCTGTTACTTCAAATTAAAGAAAAATATATAAGACCATAATTAATCTTTCGACAGGCTAACTCATTTTTGCCCACTTTTTACATTATTTTCAATTACTGCAATCAATAATGAACTAAGTTTTGTAATTTGTAACTAAGAATTAGTAGCAGAAATCAGAAATATATTTCATATTTCTTTTTTAGTAACTTTAATTTTTCACTCCCACCTGTCAGAAGTTCTGACAACCAGTGAGTGTGATGCTGAGGTATAAAATAAGGAATAGGTCATGGAATAGGCGTGAGAGAGAGAGGAGTGCTCAGCGGCTTCCTTCCTATCTTGATTTTAAATTTGTAGCTGGTGGAGGAAATCTCTCATACAGCTTCTTTTGAGCCTTTTACGGGTGCTATGGGGCATGATAGTTGTGGTCAAGTCTCAAATCAGTGAGTTGGTATATCCGTGTAAGTTATTGTGAAATCTTTTATAGTATGACCGTATGTGGTCGTTAACTGTTGGCATCTGTAGGTATTTATGTAAAGTGATGTTACTGACGTACCAGCCTTGGTGATAGTCCTGAAAGTTTTGATTGAAAAGTCTGTAGTTCATGTTTGTGAGTCTTTTTGGATGTCCCGTATATCTGTGAAGCGTAGGTCCAAATGGGCTTAAGTAGGTAAGTATATGTGTTCAACTTCTGTCTGAGTTTTAATTTAGAATGTCTTAAGATGAGTGAGTATAGTAGTTGTAGTCTTAGGTATGGAGTATCTTCTTTTTTTTTTTTTTTTTTTTTTCTGACCCTCCAGAAACTTTATTTAACACTACTTACAACATACATCTATGAATGTATATATACATTATTCCTTGACCTTTGCTTACCCAAGGGTATGAGTATCTTCTGTCAGATGTCAGTCCCAGATATTGCACTTTATCTGTCTGAGGAATTTCATATTTAGAGAGGCAAATTGATCAAAAAAGCTTAAGACAATTTACATACATAGTGAATCACAAAATCTATGATTTCACATGACATTCATCTAAGAGAATACATGTTTAAACAAAATAAAAGGATACAGACAACTACACCATAGTAATGAAAAAAATTGTCTGTAGTTCAATGGTTTTTGTAGCTCAAGATCATGAACTGATGAAATATATTAAATAAAATAACTTACCTGCTGAACAACAATTGGCCCCTGGAGGTTTTTCAACTATCAATTTTTTTTTTTTTTCAATATTACATATTCTAGAATCACACAAATATTTTATTTTACAGAATCAATTCGATTTTGAAAAATTAAAACTAGACAGATACGTTGATCAGTGTTGCCATCCTCTTTTTTAAATATACAGAATAATATGATTATATATACATTTTATATCATTACTAATAAATTATTCTAATAACTAATAAATTTATACTGTTTCCTAATAAATTATCTTTAGTGGAATTCTGGACGTGATATCAGTGTGCACTATTAAAATAAAACTTCTAAAAAACACTTTTTTTAAAAAAGGACAATTTTATTTTCTTAATCAAGATTCTATTGTTTTCAATATTTTTGAAACTTGCTACAACCGGACAAGTAAACTGATTTTTAGAGCAAAATTTCTTATAAACGGACAGCAGACATAAAACTAATTGATTCAGATAACGGCAGAATTCGTTAGCTTAAGCCGATTTTAGACATTTTACAAACTACAGGAAACACAATTGCCTAACTTAATTAACAGCGACATTGTTTCTAAACCAAACTGTTTATTTTATTTATCTTGATACAGATATCAGATGGAAAAATAACAAAAACCAGAAATAAAATATCGTGAAATAACCATTTATATATATATATATATATATATATGTTTGTCCCATAGTTTGTGGAATGTCTAAACTCATCTTTATGATCACGAAGTAATTGGGAAAACGTGTTTTAGATAAAAAAAAAGATATATGAAGGCTGATAACCTAATCTGAGTAAAAGATTTAATGATGCTCATTATTAAGAGAAAAAGCTTTAAAATGCGCCTAAAGTTTAGGTCATAACGATTTTACATCAAGTGTGATCAACGGATCATGAGGTATTTGTGATTCATTCCATACATTAATTATTTGATACTTGTTGACTTGGACAAATAATTCGTATAATATATTAATCAATGAACAAATGACAAAAAGATAATGAAGTAAGTTAATTAAATGAAGCAAAAAAGATAGAGAAATAAATATTATTTTCTGCGGTCGTTGTAATCGACCAAGAGAAAAGAAAATTTATTTAGAATATCATTCGTGATAGTAAAACATGTTTACAAATTCCGATAGGCTCTATCTTTATTAATAACGGCCCCGATTTCGATGATTTATTTTTCATTTCGTAGAGAATTTTGTAATCTTAAAGATAATCATGAATGTAATCAATTAATTAACACCATGTTAATATAAAGAATGTGAAAAATGACATTTTTCAATTCCATTAGCTTAGAATTATGGGTATCAGCGTGAATATATTTACCAAATTGGTGAATACCCAACCATATATACCATAAAAATGAAAAGTTCCTAAACTCTGCGCTCAGCTCATCGATGCCGTCGTTTCACCCAGTTTAGTCGGTTCACCTTGTATCAAAATGTCGAATTGTAACTGCGACCAGAAGACTAAAAACAGTAATGTAATTTTAACGAATTTATGTTATATTGTTAGATGTATAATTGTTGTAGTAACGAATAATCGTAATTGAAAGTTTACATTGGACAAATTCACATTCGTTATTTGAATATGGTATCGACGATATATTGTATAGTCTTGAGTTGTGCGTAGATCAAGTTTTATTTTTCACAACTTTTTCCCAGAAATTTCAGTGGGAGGGAGATTAACATATTTTTCCGACCAGCATGGATATGCTGAATAACAAGTAGATACATCAAATGTGTATTAAAATTTATTAATTTTAGATTTGATATTATATGGAAGGCTGATCTAGAAGAACTGCGTTTGGACGGTGACCGGTGGAGGAAGATGTCTAGACTCGGTGATGTCGGCATCGAACCTTCGGGTTCGCTAAGGCTTTTATTATTACTGTTATTTGTCATCCACAATGACCTTAATATACCATACATTTCCGATGTAGCTTAATTCAGATACCTGTTTTTCCATAATAAACTTCTGAACCCTCTTGTTTCCAACCTTGCTTCCTCTTCTACTCCTCCGAGGCGTCTGAAAAGAAGATGGGCTCGGGTCCTTATATTATAGAAATATAATTGGAGTGCTATCAATGGATAGTTTCTCAACATGTTGTACATGTCATGTTACTTGTTCATATTTACTTGTTGTATTTATCATTTAATACAGTTGTAAATTTCAATAATAATAAAAAAAAATATATTTGTCATTAGTGGTGAATATTATCTTTAAAATTATGCCACAATCATTGGATTTGATGAAAAATTTACAAACTTTGGGTTTCCGAAAAAAAAACTTTGATAAATGGTATATAAAGATTTGCTCATATATATATTAACTTTTTTTTTTCAAAATTATACCTTTTACTCTTCACAATACTCATAAACGGACACTTCTATCAAGTGGACAAAATTTCCATCCCCTATAGTGTCCAATTATAGGAAGTTCCACTAGTTTTATCTTGGATGATCCGTTATTGTGAATATTTTGTATGAAATCAATAATTAAATAATTTCTCGTC